TGTGTGTGTGTGTGTGTGTGTGTGTGTGTGTGAGTGTGTGTGTGTGTGTAAAGATAAGACTTAATAATAATCTTATATTCAAGTATAGCTCCTGGAAAATATACTTTAACCAATACAACGAGAAAAATCAGCTCTGCTTACGTAATTTAACTTTATATATTCTTTTAAATGATTCTCTCTCTCTTTATTAGATACCGTATTCTCAAATAAATATGATGTATCTAATTGTAAACACGAGCAGACAACTCTGGCCCCCAGTCTCTCCGTTCTCGCTTTTAGCATAAATTTATATTCTATAGTATCTTATATCATTATAACTTCATAATTTCTTCGATGAAGACTCCAACTTTTCAACAATGCCAAACTTTTTTTGCTGCATGAACGTAGAAAGCAGTCGCTAATAACATTTTATTTACATTTAACAAGTAGTTATCAGACAATATTTAATAAGAGAAAATCCTTTTTCCATTGAAACGATAATTTATTCAGAACTTTATATCCGTCTCTCTATTTTTCTTTACATTTGTTTTCTTGCCACGATTTTATCTTATTTGTCACGAAAAACTTTTCAAGAGTAATGGCGTATCGCAAGGGTACGTGCGGAGAGAGCTGCAAACGGCGGAGAGACTACAAAGGCAACAGACCTTTACGGAGCGCAGCGAATTGAAATACGCCCGTCGACTGGTAATTAAGCTTGGTAGCGGTGTTATAACGAGAGAGGATGAACATGGTCTGGCTCTTGGACGTCTGGCGTCTATCGTCGAACAGGTAGCTGAATGTCAAATCGACGGCCGCGAATGCGTCATGGTGACCAGCGGAGCGGTCGCCTTTGGCAAGCAAAAGCTCACCCAAGAGCTTTTAATGTCCATGTCGATGAGAGAGACTCTGAGCCCCACTGATCACACGCGAGAACATGCAGGTAGATTATTTCTTCGTTCTAATAGCTTTTAATTTTATATTGCGCTCGGAAATTATTCTCATGGCACGATTAGAATAATTAATAAAATATAATTACCAAGGTAACTGAATTTATATGTGATGTTGCATTTTATAATAATAATAATATGAAATTATACTAACAAGTTAGTTTCCTGTTTGTATAAACGTTGATTTTATCAGGTATTAATATATATCTCTAATATTTATTTCAATTTCACCTCGACAAACGTTGATGATTATGCAGTTCCATAAAAATACGGTTTACTTAGATTCTACACGTGCCCAAAGCTGAAAGATTATTAATTACAAGTTCCTAAATTCAAGTTGACCTATTTCATAAATAAATGAACCTCATCTCCTTTACTCTTCCTGGAAGACGGGAAGACTAAAACGCCAATGTTGGGTGCGGTAATTGGCGCAGGAATATGCCGCGCCAATTTCATGTTCTCTTGCGCACACGTTCGTCCATCAGACACAATATCTAGGGTACGACGCACTCAATAGACGCTTGCTTTAATTATTATTTTCATGCATCAACGATAAGAGGTGAATTTCGTACATACATGTACATGTATATATGTACATGTACACGGGTAAATTGCCATTAGCATAATTGAGACCAGAATAAGCGATAATCTTGTTGTACTTTACATTATTTCCCTTTGAAAGCCCGCTCGAATGACGTCCCTAATCAATAATGTTTTCATAATTCTAATTAAGAATATATACTGCGAGTCTCATGTACACATAAAGGAATTATAATAAAGTTTGAAAGATGTAGTTTATTTTATCTCAACGTAATTTTCACTCCGAGTTCACCTAGGTAGCATTATTAAACGCATTACTTTAAAGCACGTGTAATTGTCGCTCAGGGCTCGCTTGAAATAGATGGTCATTTTGCATACAGTACAAGATGTAATGTTATTATTACAAAATAGCTATCTCAAAGAGCATTACATATGATGATTATATCATAGATTCCTATATATGTAAATTATATTTCTTAATTATGTAAAATATGTTAACTTTGAAATAAATTTTGGTGTTAAAAAGTTTTTTGTTTTATTCAGGAAAAAAGCAAAAATAAATTAATTTGAAAAAGTCAATAAAATTTCGCTGTTGTGTGGCAAAGTACAAATAATAATTTATTCATTACATATTAATTATTATTCCCATATGGGAACAAATATTTCGTGAGAACATTGAATAATGCATCGACTCTCAGAAAGACAATAACTTCCTCAGTAACGAATTTTCTCTCCTCTGATAAAATACATAATAGAAATACTCTTATTACACAATCAAGGTTGTTTCTCGCTTCGATTCATTGATTTAGTATAGTATATATATTAAAAGAATAGAAACAATATAACTTAAACAATTCACAAGCGGGATATTAATATTTTTACGAGACAGGCGAGCGAATCAACCTTGAGCTATACATTTTAATATCTCCATCTAGTTATTAAAGAATTACAGAGCTTATACTAAAGAAAAATAACACATGTATTCTGTCTAAAATGCAAAATGGAAAAAAGGAAGAAACTTCAATAAATTGTACTGTCAAGAGATGTTAGCGAGCTTCTGTCTTGAAATAATAAATAACTATTTAAAGAGTCTTTTAAAAAGAAGAAACAAATCCATTGTCCATAAATCTGTAAGAATCTGTATTCATCTGTAAGAATACCCAGGCGGGAGGTGTTAATGTTCCGGTAGTAATTTCGAATACTTGTCTAGGCAACCTGTCAAGTCGAATGTCCAGTCTGTGCTCTCTGTCTCTCTCTATGTATTAGATTGTATATAGATCGAGCTAACAACTACCTGACAACGAATTCCTGTGGGATTCTATTTGTCCTGTAAATCTTGCCGAGTGCATCTTCCGATCGATGCGCAAGTTCGAGAACAATTTTCTTCAATGTCTTGTCAATCATCCGCTTGTTTTCTTACTCTCGTAGTAGCGTTTCTCCAAAGTTACTTGTAACTATTAAAAAAATCGTCTAGCTGTACTAGAATTGTAGCATTTATCCAAAGCTATATTTAATTATTCCAAAAATCATTTAGCTCATCATTATGTTCTTTCATGTTGGCATTATTCTTGAAATAAGACTTCAAAAATGGACGCGTTGGGTAACTTACGTCTTTCATAACATATTTATGCAGGAACTATGTTGGAACCTCGAGCAGCGGCCGCAGTCGGTCAATCTGGTCTCATGTCTCTCTACGACGCGATGTTCGCCCAATACGGAGTCAAGATTGCTCAGGTATTAGTGACCAAGCCTGACTTCTACAACGAGGAGACACGGAAAAATCTCTTCAGTACTCTGAGTGAACTGATTAGCTTGAATATCGTGCCGATCATCAACACGAATGACGCGGTATCTCCGCCACCAGACGTCGACGAGGAAGTCGCTGGCAGTGGTGGTAGACGAGGAATATCCATTAAGGATAATGATTCCCTAGCGGCTATGCTGGCGGCTGAAGTCCAAGCAGATTTGCTAGTCCTCATGAGTGATGTCGACGGGATCTACAATCTTCCACCTTGGCAGGATGGCGCTAAGATGTTGCATACCTTCAGTTCTGATCTAAGAGGTACTATCAAGTTCGGGCAGAAGTCGAAAGTAGGCACAGGCGGTATGGACTCGAAGATCAACGCCGCCCTTTGGGCGATGGATCGTGGTGTTGCAGTCGTCATCTGCAATGGTACGCAGGAGAAGGCTATTAAGAGTATCATGTCGGGCAGAAAAATCGGAACGTTCTTCACGCAGGCTGCCGGCTCATCCATTCCTGTCGAGGTGATCGCCGAAAATGGTAATAGTTCGACTTTTGACTTTAAGATATTTTGTGTCTGTGTTTAAGAATCTTATCTTAACAGGTATATTAATATTATATATAAATTGGAGAATAAATAGTAGTTTAACGCGAGAGGAGTACTCTTTTAACGATTTAAACGATCCTGATTTTAATGTATGGTTCTTTTATATTTATATTATCTCGATATTGGAACGATTGTATATATTCATAAATGCGAATAAAATTTCAGCTCGCGTCGGTAGTAGAGTGCTACAAGCGTTACGCCCGGAGGAACGAGCCGAGTGCATCAAAATCCTCGCAGGTTTGCTCGAATCCAGACAGTCCGAGATTCTCTCAGCAAACACATTGGATTTGGAAGCTGCGAGCAAAAAGAATCTGGCAAAGGCCTTATTATCGCGTTTGTCTTTAACCCCGGCAAAGCTCAAGTCCCTAAGCTCCGGTCTGCATCAGATCGCGAACGATTCATTAAACAATGTTGGTCGCGTACTCCGTAGGACCAGATTAGCTGATGGTTTGGAGTTGGAACAGATAACGGTGCCCATCGGCGTCTTGTTGGTTATCTTTGAATCGAGACCGGATAGTTTGCCTCAGGTAGCCGCCCTGGCTATGTCCAGCGCTAATGGGCTTCTCCTGAAAGGTGGCAAGGAAGCCTCCCACAGCAATAAATACTTGATGGTACTTGTAAAGGAGGCGCTGGAGAAGTTCGGTGCCTCGAACGCTATTTCGCTCGTATCCACAAGGGAAGACGTGGGTGATCTTCTCTCAATGGAAAAACATATAGATCTCATTATCCCTCGCGGTAGCTCGGATTTGGTCCACACGATCCAGGAGCAGTCTAAGCATATACCTGTTTTAGGACATGCCGAAGGTATCTGTCACGTTTATGTTGACGAGCATATGGATGTAGCGAAAGCTATGAGAATCATCAAAGACTCCAAGTGCGATTATCCTGCCGCGTGCAATGCTATGGAGACGTTATTGATACACGAAAGTCTGATGAGCGGCAGCTTCTTTAGTGACGTGTGCAGCATGTTGCATAAAGAAGGGGTGAGTCAGCTTTTTCTAAGATTGAGTATTCGAAGAAAAAAAATTTGTGTGTGCGCGCGCGCGCGCGCGCGCGCGTGTGTGTGTGTGTGTGTAAATGTATATACCACTTTTATTTTTTATTTTTGAAATTAGTTTATTGAGAGGATTAAAGGATTTGCCACTAGTAACCCCGAAAAATCCAAAAGATATAAAGAATTTAAAAAATCTTTTTTCTTCTTAGTTTTTTTCTTGTTTCGTGTCGTGTTACAGTATTTCGCGTATCTTCTGTTCGTGAGCAGAACTTTCATCAAGAACTTTTTATTGGGATTTTAGAAAATGTCAAAAGTTTATATTCAAGTTTGTACTCTGAGACATGTATTAACTTCTTTGAAACGAAATAGAAAAGATTGACTTTTCTGACATCTTTTCTTGAAATTCGAATAAAAGACAATATCCTATGCATATGTAATGTACTGATGTAACATTCCATTATTTTTCCATTAAAATAAAATTTATTAAAACTCTTTCTCTCGGTGGCAATAATCGAACTTGTATTGCTTAACATTAACTTTATTACAAATGTATAAAACAATATCTTCCAGGTAAAAATCAACTCCGGTCCAAAATTAAGAGAGCTATTGACTTTCGGTCCGCCTGCCGCCAAAAGCATGCGAACCGAATATGGCGCACTTGAATGCACCATAGAAGTGGTTTCCGATGTCGATGACGCTATCAGCCATATTCATAAATACGGTAGTAACCATACCGATGTTATTGTCACCGAGCACGCCAGCACAGCGGCACACTTCCAGAGGGAGGTGGACAGTGCATGTGTCTTTCATAATGCCAGTACTAGATTCGCAGATGGCTACAGATTCGGTCTTGGAGCGGAAGTAAGATCTCCAAGACAAAAATTAGTATTTTCATTTAAAAAAACAAAAAATCTTTTTTTTTTTTTTCATTTATAAAATTACTTGGAACAGCGTACCCAATTGTAATGTATGTTCTTACAAAGTATAAAAATAATAAGTATTTGTAATTTATAAGTTATGAAGTAGTTATTTATATTATTACATATGTATAATTTTTTTTTAAGGTCGGTATTTCCACGACACGTATTCACGCACGTGGTCCAGTAGGAGTGGATGGGCTTTTAACGACGAAGTGGATTTTGAAAGGTGATGGACACGCGGCTGCGGATTTCGCTGAAGGAGGTAGCGGAACTTGGCTTCATCAATCCTTACCTCTCACGGAATCAGCGTGAATCGATCGCTTCGAACTTTATGATCTCGGGTTAGCTAGAATATCATTTAATAAAATGCAATGAGTGAGCTTCTCAAAAAGAAAAGCACGACGGACATAGAAAAATATAAATAAAAAAAACAAATCAAGCATGATAGAATAAAAGAAATACTATCATTTCGAATCATGTTTGATATAGGTATCGAATTAAAATTTAAAATTGTAACATAGGTCGACAACGAAAATATTTATAAAATAAAAATTTTTGCATTTATGGAATAGGAATAGCTCAACATCAATAGCTATATACACTTGGTTTTGATACCGTTTAAAATAATTGTAATATTAGACTTATAAAAATATATAAAAGCATATAATATAATCTTTTTGATATATTTGACAATGAAATATTAATAAATTAATATTATCAATTATTATAAAAAAAAGAGCACATTACTCTTTATATTACGACTAATCCTGGCGGTAATAAATATTTTTGTCGATATGTGCAAAAATATTATGCATTATGTATGTACATACATATAATAGATATATATAAATCAAGAATTATTTGAATACAACTTAAAATAATGAGATAAATTGCTTTTCGCTCTCCATAAACGCTCCAAACTTCAATCGCACAGATAAATTACATCTTAAAAAGAGATTCTGACAGTAGAACGATGCAAGATTCATAACAGAAGTTGTACAGAACATTATTTTCAAAATTTCGAAAGTTAATAACGTAACAGTAATGAAGTCCTCTTTTAGTACTCATCTTGAAATCAACTAAGCAAATCTAAATAGGAGAATTTAAATCCTACAGTTAACGGATTCGTGACTCTTTATCGAGAATGATACAAACGTTAGCACAACAGCAATGCGCCCATTGAAACGGGCAGCTGCCCCAGTTATAATAATAATCGAAAGTTTATACGCGATTATAAAACCTATTTCACGGAAGACATATTTTTCTGAAATGCGCACGTAATACGAACGTTAATAATATTCTTGCAAATTTCCGAATTAAATCAAATAAATTGTATATTCAGCGAACAAAAAAAATTTTTTAATATAAAAACAAACACATTCTTTGCAGATAATTAATTTTTATAAAAATTTGTCATACAAAATTACATGCTCGTAATGTAAAATTAATATAATAATTTATATTCCATAAAATCGGAATATATGTAATGAACAAATCAGAGCCTCTATTCTTGAAAAGAAACATATACGAAAAACTAGGGAAATATTATACGTATATTATATACGTATATTATTAGTTTTTCGTATACATTTTTTTTTTCAAGAATAGGGGCTCAAATATTTTTACAATTGGTTTAGCTGAACTTTTTGGTTTATCTTTCTTCCTTCTTTCATTACGTTGGAAAGAAAAAGAGAAAAGAACTGTGCAAAAAGTTTAGCTAAAAAAAACAAAAGTCTAATGTTTTACATGAATATTTCGCAAATTTATACAACATTTTTATTAGAAGTAGTACTAAGATAAATATAGGTAAATATTTATAAGATAACTGTTGAGAAGAAATATTTTCTAAGTATTTCATTCTGGCGCCCATAATTTGAAAGTTCTATCGTACGAACTAGTTGCAATAAACTTATGATCGGGCGATACATCAACGGACATGACTTTTCCATCGTGACCTGGTAACATTTTAAGAGGTTGCCATGTTTTGTTGGACCAAATTTTGGCTGTGTTATCATAAGATGCGGTAACCAAATATTGTCCTTCTGTTTTTTGGTACTTCACGTCGGACAGCAAATTAGTATGTGCTGGTATCGTGTATATGCAAGTTCGCTTTCGCAAGTCCCATATCTTGCAAGTATTATCCTCGCTTGCTGTCGCTATGTGAAAACCGTTTGGTGAGAAATCGATGCCGAAGATGGATGTTAGATGACCCTCCATAAACATTATGCATCTGCCGGTACGTAAATCCCATACTCTGCCAAAAGAATCATGACCGCCTGTGGCACAAACGCTTCCATCGCATTGAAAACTAAATAAAAACACGCAATATATAATAAAAATATAGATCAATATAACGAATTAAAAATAGATCAATATGATGAATCAAACAACGTATGCGAGGAAATATACCTAATGCAGTGTACTGCTCTAGCATGACCTTCTTGGTGAAGTACTTCCGCTTGTTGTTCCAAATCCCATAATCGCCAAGATGCATCGTAACAACATGTGCCAAGAAATCGTCCAGATGGATGGAAAGCGATCCTAGAAACTCTGTGAGGTTCATGTCCTTCCACCTCTGCTAATGGTTCTTCACCAGTACCACCGCTCCACAGTTTTACAGTACCTATTATAAAATGTAAACATAATAAAATAACATTATCATATAATTTTATGTGTTGTTTATAATATATATGCACGTTGCATACCATCTGCTGCACATGATGCCAGCACGCAAGTTGGTACTGCATTATCACCTACTATATCTTCGGTTATTGTAGCTTTTGGATGAAAAACAATACAGCCAACATTACAATTATGTCCGTGTAAAGTGCGCAACAAAGTACAGTCAGGTACAGACCATAACTTGCATAAGCCTGACCATGAAGCTGTAACAAGGATTTTTGAATTAGGGCTGAACTGGCAAAAGGAAATGGGCCTGTTGTCACCAATTTGAGAACAATAAATGCTCAATGCTTGCAACTTTTTCAAAAGCTCTTGTCTTTTCGCTGTGCGAGTTGCAGCTGGTAATAGTAGATCTTGCCTTGCCTTATCCAACCGTGCTTTTGCTCTGGGCAACGAATAAGCTGCAAATATATAAAAGTTAAATAATGTTTGTATTAAAAAAATAAGAGATATGAACACTAACATTTTTATATAGATTTACTTCATGGTTAATAAAATTTTACTTTTTTTAAATTCATGCCAGTAATAAAATCCAGTATATTTTCTAGAAAAAAAACTAAAAAACACTCCTATTAAACACTCTATTTAATTTATTGTTTTTAATAGAAAAGTTTACCAGTTTTTTTCTGGAAAATATTAGATTTTGTCATCGATATTCTAATTCAGTATCACTAGGTATTCTGCTTTTAATTGTTTTTCAATTTAAGCTTCGTCCAAAGTAAAATCCATAAAAGATTAGGAATCAATGTAACAAATAATTTAGTTTTTGTCATAAGATATTGATAAACTTGAATCAGATAAGTAAAAATTTTATATTCTGTTATTATCTTTTCTTTCTTGTGAAACTTTAATCAAAATAAAAATTAATATAAACTTTAATTACATTTATTATCTCAAAAGTTTTTGTTTTAAAAAACTATTTCACATATTAATTCGAATTAAAAAAGATTCTATTATAAAATGTTTTATTACTATTAGTTTTCTTTGTTTGTTTCTTTAAAACTATTATATATGATTAGTATGATTTACTAATTAAAACAAAAATATTTTCTGTATAAAGTACATCAGTCTATCTTTTTTAGTACTAAATATTAGTTTTATTATAGTTTTTTCCAGTTTGTTCCATTGATAAAGTCTAAAACCTCGAATTTTTTCTATTTATTGGATTTTCCTGGCAATTCCTTATTCAAGTATAATTATGACTCACACGCTATCCATGATCTTGCAATTTGCAAAGAATCTGGTCCCTCGTGGTACCAAGTTGACTCTGCATCTTTTTCGAGTGGATAGGACGGTTTTTCTTCTTCTTCATGTTTCTTTTTAATAGCATCCTCTCCCACGCTAGCTAATAATTCTCTTAATCTTGTCCTTCTATCCGCTGGACCTTCTCCAAAGAGACAAATTGGTTCACCCAATTGTCTTAAGTGTTTCTTTACTTCGGAGTCATCTGTAGAAACATTAATTTGTCTAGCCTTTTTCCTACGTTCAAATTCTTCCAATAATGCCTGCCGATCTTTAGACATTTCATCCTCGAGCTCCATGTACTCATTCGAAATATGTACATTTCCTCCTGAGGCGGAAACATTAGTAACATCATTTGCATTCGTGACATCCTTTTCTTCATCCGTAGTTTCGACGGTAGCTGCAAGTCGTGCACGTTCTGCTTCCTCCAAGGAACCATAGTGGACGGTTTTCTGCTTCTTCACGTAAACCAAATCCTCGTCGTCGGACATTTTAAGAGGTTATAGGAGGTTATGATCCTCCTATTTTAGAAAGTAATCTGCTATTCCTCCGTTTTATTTGACTGCGAATATATTACACAGATTATTTTGAAGCGAATTTACGAGTACAATTCACAAGCATTGAAACATTTTGAGAAGTAGTAAAAGAATACTTGAAATATCGCTACAGGACATCACAAAACATTTCAGACCTAACCTAACTAACTTATATGTATTTTATTACTGATAATTAATAATACTTACGTTATATATAATCAATATATAATCTGCAGCTATTTGCAATATTTACATGTATTTTAAAAAATTTTACAATGCACGTTTTTGGGACGTTTACACACATATATCGTTTAAATAATACTTTACGAAACTCACATCTCACACCTCCATTCACGTGATTCTACATTTATGTCTACATTTGATAGTATTTAACTTTTAAATCTGGTCTACTATCACAGACGATCGATTTGTATCGAAATGATCGAATTAGTTTATAAACAAGGTTATCAAAATAATTATTAAAATAATTCAAAATGTATTTATCTTACTTCTCTCGCATAAATTATTTTATTAATATGTTAAAAAATTTCAGAAAATAACATTAAAAGTAAACAAAATAGTTTCTCTATTTTTAATGTATAAATATGTATATTCAATGTCAGTACGTTTCAAATAATAGTTATGTAAATTAGCTCATCTATTACTAAATATTCCGAATCATTTTTAATTCATAAAACATGAACATAATAAAAGCGTGGATGGAATAAGAAAATTTTAAGCATATATTTCATAGTGACGGCAATATGAATTATTCAACTTTTCGTATCTTAATAATATTAATACGATCAATGGCTTTTTTGAGTAAATCAATCAAATATAGAAAAAGGCATTCAAGCCAATGTTGGTTTTTGTTGCGAATATTTTGAAGTTGTTTGTTCATAACAAATTGTAATAAATCTAGACGTTTCGATGCATTACATCATGTAATCGAATTGTCGTGCTGTAAGTATCGTACTGCTCTCGTTACAATTTCATATAGTTAACGGATAAATTGAACGACAATTATAGTAAAATTGTATGGAAATGACGACTTCCATGCAGATATTGACCACGATTGTTGCAAGAAAATAAAAAGATAAATATTTAACACTAACCTTTTCTTGGTATAATTGTGTCAAAAGCGGAATGGCAGATGGGAAATGGAACAGATATGTATGCAACAAAGCGACGAGTAATATATGAGCGAAAATTTAACCAATTTACACTCAAGTTACAATTTCAACTGTATGTTATATTTTCTAACTATTGTAATTGTAGACGCGTTTAAGTTTTAAGACAATTATAATGATAGGAGAGTGACAAGGGAAATTTAACGATGAATTATATAAATTTTTTATATTCAATTTGATTGTATTCAAATAATATTGAACAGAACTTAATAATAGTCGAAACGTCTAGATTTATTACAATTTGTTATAAATAAATAAACTTTAAAATATTCACAAGAACCAGCGTTGACTCGAATATTTTTTTCTACATTGATTCACAACTTTTGATTAAGAAATTCGACATTTTATATAAACTTAGATATAAAGATTAAATTAGAAAATAATGTTGTCAAACATAAGAGAACATTCAATGTTACGAGATAATTGGTGGCCCTGAAAAGGGCCGTTTTTGTAAAAGCAGTTCACTTTGAGCTCGTGTACTTGGTAACTGCCTTTGTGCCTTCGCTAACGGCGTGCTTCGCCAACTCTCCGGGAAGAAGAAGCCTCACAGCAGTTTGAATCTCCCGAGACGTGATCGTCGAGCGTTTGTTGTAGTGTGCCAGACGAGACGCCTCAGCTGCGATACGTTCGAAAACATCGTTGACAAAGCTATTCATGATGCTCATAGCCTTGCTGGAGATTCCGGTGTCAGGGTGGACTTGCTTCAGCACCTTGTAGATGTAGATCGCATAACTTTCCTTCCTCTTCCTCTTTTTCTTCTTGTCAGTTTTACTGATGTTCTTCTGAGCCTTGCCGGCCTTCTTCACCGCTTTGCCGCTAGCTTTCGGTGGCATCGTCGATCTCCTTGACGAAAGTTTTCGTACTTCGAATGCGATATGACGTTCGAGACGTTCGGGACTCGAGTAACAGCCCGGCTCTCTCGAAACGCGATATATATAGCAGAAAGTGTCGCTCGAAGCGCACCAATCACGTGCGAGCTGTGCTCAGCGGCGGCTTCGCCACACGCCATTGGTCGGCGCTCGTGTTGCTAAGCGTTACTCACATTCCGTCCTCCTTTCTCTCGTACCCTTTCGATAGTTTTCTTTCTCAACTTCCTTAAAGTACCTAATTATATTATACGCTGAACCAGTCTTTTAATTTCACTTATTAATATATTCTGATTTATTAACATATTAGATTTGACTTTATTATTAAATAATGAGTATGTACATTTCGCCAAGTGGATATTATAAAAAGAGAACAGTACCGCTATTCTCTGCGTGCTACTGATTGTAATTCAAATGTAATTTCAAATATTAACATATTAATATAAACGGCAAATCTCAAGAAACAATATTCTCGTACAGATCATCGCACAACAGTATCAATTGATAGATACTTTCTAAATTATAAATCCACTAGACGCTTTCGAGCACAACGCCGTTACAAGGGGCGTTTTCCAATGAAGATACACAAAGATTCACAGTGTGATACAATAAATCATAACATTTTTGTTTGTCAACATTAAACAAGAGCGAAATAATTCACTGAATTGTGTAAAAAGGCAACCGTTGAGAAGATTTATGCATAATCGTTCGAGACAGACTCGGTTTGTATACTATTGAATGGATTTGTAAATAGATATAAATTCTTTCTCATATCTTATCCCTTTTTCATAAACTCGTAATATTTATCAGAAACAAGCATACATAAATATGTATACTTTTTACATTGCATTTTAAGTGATAGGACAATATTTTCACCGATTGCGCGTACAGTTGAGAGTGAGAAACCGGGCAAGCGTTCTGATTGGCTGACGTCGACGTGGAGGGGAGAACCGAGTCGAAACAGTATAAAAGTGCCTGTGCGAGCGAGGTTCATCGTCATTCGGCAGTCTGTCTTTGTGTCAGCGAGTTCGTATCGTAGAGATTCAAAATGACTGGTCGCGGTAAGGGAGGAAAAGGATTGGGAAAAGGAGGAGCGAAGCGTCACAGGAAAGTTCTTCGCGATAACATCCAGGGTATCACCAAGCCAGCTATCCGTCGTTTGGCACGCCGTGGTGGCGTCAAGCGTATCTCCGGCTTGATCTACGAAGAAACTCGAGGTGTGTTGAAGGTCTTCCTCGAGAACGTTATTCGCGATGCTGTTACTTACACTGAACACGCGAAAAGGAAGACCGTGACAGCCATGGACGTCGTATACGCCCTGAAACGTCAAGGCAGAACTCTATACGGCTTTGGTGGTTAAGCGAAGGACGGTGGCTCCTACAGATCAAATCGGCCCTTTTCAGGGCCACAAATATTTCAAACGTTCGAATAGTTTCTATTCGCCATATAACCTATACTTGTTGCATATTTCATAATAAATAATTCAACGCATGATCCATATATACTTGACATTGAAATATTGACATTTAATCACGGAAAAGTTATAAAAATAAATTTTTAATGCATGTAAATTAAATTCTTACTCAATTCTTCTATATATTATCTATTGATTTAATTTAAACTAAATTCTCTAATGGCTTTTTATCTTTAATTCGAAAAATTGGAAAAAATTAATATTTTTTAAGTATGAAAATGGCATATCCATTATTTAAATATGTCAAAAATTATTTTTATTCCCGTAAAATATTGCTGGTATACTATTTTTAATACTTTTATTTCGAGAACTATATGTAAAAAATATTTTTATCGTTCTGCTCATGTAATTCTCCGTTTAAATTTGCAACTGTTATATACATATATAATGTGTAGATATAATACTACGATTCACATTATTGTAAATGTATTTACGCAAAATTCGATAAAATGTGCATATTGGACGTGAATAAAAGATTACAATTATATGAATACTCAAAAGATGAACTTCTGAAAGTTTTTGAGGTTAGGAGTGAACATCACGTCAATCTATAGGCAAAACTTGTTCGTGTACATAAGATGCAAAGCGTTTTCTTATACATCCGTAAATACAATTATTAGAATTATGACGTAAGATAATTTTTAGTTAGATATAGATTCTAAAACTGGCATCTACACAAACAATAAATTTGAATATTCATTTATTAATCTGCGTGTTTTTTTAACTCACGAAATTTGTATTTGTTTAATGAAAACAATTGGAATTAAATTTGATAACAATTTTGATTACAGAATAAAATCTCAAACAGTACATGATCGTTCAAAAAAAGACATCTTGTATTTTGAATATGTTTATTGTTTATTATCTAGAATATTTAATAAGGAAATAATTTTCACGTGAAACATAGAAATTTTTAACATACGAAACATTCAAGGGGCTATTCTAATTTAGTCTAGAGTAAAAACTTCATTTTTGAGATTATTTTCTTGGAATTAAAATAAAAAAACTCAATTATAATGTTGGTTTTATACGTATTTATACAATATTTGTGTCAAATAATTCTTTAAATTTTAAAGTTATTCGCGTCAATACTCAAAGTTACAGATCACCGTGAATAGTGTTACGAGATATGCGGCATGAATGCACCGATCGCAAGTATTTCGTAACACTAGGGCGTTGTTTTCTAAAGTTGAACTCTCTAGTGTACACTTTTGAAATTAAAGAACTTCTTTAAATTTGATTTTATTGAAATTATGTTTAAAAAAGTTTATTAAATATATTCAATTTATGTGCACTTTAATAATTTATACCAAACAATTAATTCCTTTTTAAATTTTGACTACTTTTTCAACATATTACGTGCACATCAAATACAGATAGAAAACTTCAATGGATAACGTTTTGATGATACAATGTACGCGGAGTTTGAAGAAATTAAAGTAAGATATGTGTACGTTTTGATATTCAGTGAAAACGAGTTCTAGTACAGTCTAGTGCAGATAAAAGACATATAATGCGCGATACTAACTTTTACGATACTGATGTAAATCACTCCAAAAAATTCTGATTACTTAAAATACAAATCAAAATAAATAATAAATTAATACCTGGAGCTGCTTTATTTTATTTATTCCAAATTTTTTTTAAAACGAGTTTAAGTTACAATATTCTTACTTTAAAAACGTTAAAACATCAAAAAATTATTTATTACAGTTATTTATGAAATAAATTTTTACTAACGTTTAATAAATCAATGGAATTATTAAATACGGAATTAATTTGCTTTCAATATATGGAAATCATGTAAGCGAGAGAGACAATCCATCGTACAAAAAAAAGTGGTGGCCCTAAAAAGGGCCGATACATATATTTTTGTAATTAAGCACGCTCTCCACGAATACGACGCGCCAGTTGGATGTCCTTGGGCATGATGGTAACCCGCTTGGCGTGAATAGCGCAGAGATTCGTGTCTTCGAATAGACCAACAAGATAAGCCTCGCTAGCCTCCTGCAATGCCATAACAGCCGAGCTTTGGAAACGAAGATCAGTTTTGAAGTCTTGAGCAATCTCACGGACGAGACGTTGGAATGGCAGTTTGCGAATCAGCAATTCGGTGCTCTTTTGATAGCGACGAATTTCTCGAAGAGCCACAGTTCCAGGCCTATAACGATGAGGCTTCTTCACTCCACCCGTAGCAGGCGCACTCTTACGAGCTGCTTTAGTCGCCAGTTGTTTCCGGGGAGCCTTACCACCAGTAGACTTGCGTGCAGTCTGCTTAGTACGAGCCATTTCTTTTATCTGAGCGGCACAACGTTCCCGAACAGTCGTCAGAAGAAAAACGATCAGAGGTTGTCCACGCGTACTTTTATAGGGCCCCAGTGCAACCGGCTCGACAGCGATTGGTCGCTGCCCTAGTAGTGGGGAGAGGCAGTGTAACAGCTGCGCGCGCACAGAGTTGTTCTCTACATATATTTCTAAAGAATATCCCTCGTATATACACATATAAAGTATATGAAAATGTAAAAACGCGTCATATTGCTTTTCAGTCTCATTTTATACATAATAACAATGATAAATCAATGATACAGATTATAGGAATTAACTAAATATATTGTAACAACACGTACGGAAAGAGCGTGTAAAGAAAGGATAAAAAAAATTTTAATTTTAGCATATAATTTATAATACTTATAATATTTGTACACCTTTTTTAAATTAAAATCTCAATAAAATGTTTTCTCTAATATTAGCATAATATGTTACGATATTTGATACAATTAATGTTTGATATAAGATATGATTGACGTCAATTTAAGTATATTTGAAACTGTAATTGTGCTTGGATATCAAATTGTGCATGAACAATAAGAGTAATTCTAATTACTTTTAACTTAAATGAATAGCGGAAAATTCTGCGAACATATTAAATATTTAAATCTTGCATTCTAAACTTCAGAAATAAATAAATGTCATGTTGTTTAAAATATTAATGAATCTAATATTCTCTAGTAATCATATTTGGTATAAATATTGATTGTTAAATGAACCGTTTTATTAAATTTTTATCAAATATTTAATCTTATTTACATTAAATTTTTAACGTAAAATGTTTGCATAATTTGCAACATATGTATATCATAAGCAAAGTTTTAAAATTAATAACATATTAATTAGATAACAGAAGCAAACGAATAATATTTTATGTCAAATGTCAAATGTGAAATATGAAATCATTTTCTGATAATTCTGCATGAGAATATTTTCGATTTAAATTGAAAATATGGATATTTCAGTTATGATAGAATATTTTTGTCTATGCAGATTTATCTTAGATGATATGTTTATTATGTACAAATATAATAGATGTTTTAGTTCTTTTCTTAGCTGCGAGTTTTACTTATTCATTTTATGGAAATTCCAAAAATATCCTAAAATTACAATTATATTAAAATATATTAGATACATAACCTATCTAAAAAATCATGAAAAATAATATGTTTGTATTTCAATTAAGATATATTTTTGTGTTATTGTTTGCATATTAATTCTATTATTCTTTATTTTAATCGATTAAATGGCAATTAGCATCTAATAATAATCTACTATTTTTACAGACGACATGAAATCTCTATCACAATACAGCACGTACTTGTTTAGTATAATTTCACATGTATTTTTATAGAGATTGTAAAACTAGAAATAAATAATTGTTCTTAGAAATTGTAAGTATGCCAAGAAGTTAATATTAAATGGTCACTATAAGTATTGTTGTCAGAGAAATTATGAAACTATTTTAGACACATACTTACACGCTAACCTATAAAACAAAAATCAATGAAATGCAGCTTTCAATATTATTTTATTTTTAATGTCATAATTCGATCAAGTATTTGCATCTGTATGCGTATATATATATATATATGAGCGTGTAATATTCATATTTTTTCTTTATTATATGCTTTTGATTTTAAATATGATAAATATTGAATGCTTTCTATTTGATTTCACAAATTGATAAAAATTGACACGAGCGTCGTTTTATCTTTCTTAATATTCAGAAAGTGACAAAGATGGAACAACACTTGTGTCATTAAATTAATGAAAGCACCCATAACATGTTCGAAATGTAATTGAAAGTTTGTAAAAACCAAATGTAATATTTTATACACATATTTTCATAAATTATGCAAACAATAAATTATGTAGACATGTTTGAATATAATAATTCTATTAATAATAAAGAAAATTATAGATACGAATAATATACACATATTATATACTAGTTGTAAAATGTTAATTGTTATAAAAATATTAATTATAAGTGTTAAAATCACTAGTTCTAAAATGTTAATTACTTTAGAAAGTTTTACAAAATACATTGTGAGATGAAGGAAAATCTAGTAACGCGTTTCAAAAATATAAGACAGGTAATGACGTAATAACGGTTGTTCAAGAAAAAAATGCAAGAAATTAAGTAATACATTTTAATCTATGTTTAAAATAAATTTTTCTATCTAAATTCTATAACAAAGTTCTAATTCTATAACAAAATTTGTATTCTTCATAAACAAATATAAACAACCGAGCGTTTCAGTTCGATCGAGTGTTTCTTATATGAATACAATTCTTTTAAAATATAGATAACATTGTAAAAAATATATGTAATTTGTTAGAGGTAATTACTTGGAGTAATTAACTATATGTGTATAAACTCAACAAAGGTATACAAAACATGAAAATATGCCTATTACACTATTTTGGATAATTGTTGTAAGTAATGCGCTGTTGCGCACAGGGAGACTTAATCAGCGCGTTGCGAAAAAGAATCCTTAAATCGTTGTACAGGCACAGATTCGACGTAAAAAATTGTTTCATAAATTTGTAAAAACGGAAACTTGAGTATGTCGATTTCTGTTCCGAGATGCAAAAGCATTTGTATCATCTGTACAACTTATTGCTTAGAAATATTATTAGGTTACGATACAGTTTTTATGTTTCCTTGATCGTATAGTTCGCGAATCAGAAATGAATTATGATATCAAATTGCGCTTGATTTTTGCAAATTTCAAGAAAATGACTGTGCAACGACAGTTAAATATTTTTCAAACAATATTTTTCGTCCATGCAAGTCTCTATGTGTTATTTCGTTATATCTTGTTGTATGATTCGTTATAACAGTAAGGTTTAACTGCATAGGGGCAATCGGCGTGTTATAGGAAGCCGTTTTCGCGTATATACGATATTCTTCGAACGAAATTATCGATTATGCATATAATATTGCAACCCAATTATATTTACGCTTCTCTCGATCGATAATGGCATTTTACACTATTCAGTAAAATTGCCTGCAAATGTACTTTGTAATCGGTATTCACTTTGTGTTGCGCTAACGCTTGTATTCTGCCACCCGTGAAACTTGGAATATTCAGCGGGTATCTGGTGCCTCGCTCGGGATAAACACTTGCGGTTGGTTAGCACGGCTATCACGACGTTTTGTGAGCCGCATAAATGCGCCGTGCATTAATAATTATATTGTTTATTAACTTATTTCTCGAATTGAATCGAGCTCCGCGAATGAATCGAGTGCTCGTATCGCATGGAACCGCGTAAAAATCGATGTTAGCCGCGCGGAGGGCCGTCGAAATGTATACCAAATGAAACTAGCTACTTGCTTCTACAATTCTGAGCCGCGAACTAATGACCTTCATTATGTAAAATATTATTTAAACAACGAACAATTACCGGGCGCTCTTTCATTCCCAGCTGCTTGTTACCTGCAACATTGCTGGTGCCTCTCTCCGTGGTCCGCGCTCATAATACAAGTGCCATGCTAGGCGGAGCGTTTGACAATGTTCGAGAATAGCGTCATCTGTGAGCGTCTAGTACGAAAGTTTATATTTGTACTTTGTCGTTGAGCATTGGCATTTCTCTCATCGCATCGCAATGGAAGATAAGAGCGCATCTGGTAATGCTGCGGCTACGGAAAACTCGGCCGCCGCGGCGCCTGCGAAGAAGAGCGCGAAATCTAAAGCAAAGACACAGCGCCCCAAGTCGAATCATCCGCCGACCTCGGAGATGGTCACATCTGCCATCAAGGAACTGAAAGATCGCAAGGGTTCGTCCGTGTGGGCAATCAAGAAGTACATCGCCTCCACTTACAAAGTCGACGGAGAGAAATTTGCTCCCTTCATTAAACGGTACCTTCGAGCAGCAGTTACGTCCGGTGCGGTGGTGCAGACCAAGGGGAAAGGTGCATCAGGCTCATTCAAACTCTCGACCATCAAGCCCTCTTCGAAGGGTGGTAAGGTGAAGCGTGTTGCGCAGAAACCTACTTCTGATGCAAAGAAGACTACCGAAAAGAAGGTTGCAAAGAAAGCGCCTGCAGCTAAAAAGGCCGCCGAAACTAAGAAGACAACGGCTGAAAAGAAGCCGGCATCTCCAAAGAAGACCGCCAAAACTGCAGCAACAAAGAAGGTCGAAGCCGCGGCAAAACAAAAGGCTGCTGCTCAAGCCAAGAATCTGTCGAAGACCAAGAAAGCTACCAAAGCTCCAGCGGCAAAGACCAAGACTCCCAAGCCAAAAACCACTAAGGCAGCAGCGACGAAATCTGGAAAGGCAGCAAAAAAATAATTTAGATTCCGTTAATCCAAATGATAAAACTGGCCCTTTTCAGGGCCCCAAACTGTCATACGATGGAAAATCTGCTCGCAATTAATCAATTTCCTTTCCCCAAAATTACTTAAAAGAAAATAATTTTTTTGCAATTAAATATTTATTAGAATATTATTAACAAATTAATTTATTGGTATTAACGAAAAATATAATTACATTAGTTATATTTTTAATCGTAGTTTTTTTTAAAATGATATATTTAATTAAAGTTTTTATTATAGACTTTTTTTGCTGAGTTTTTATTTGTGTTTAAATTAAGCATTTACTAAGCATAAAATTTTACGCTATTTTTAATCGTCGCTGAGTAGTAGAGCGGTTAATGATAAACCTCGCGGTAGTCGCCCTCAAATTATATATTTGAAATTTTGATTAGAAAAATCTCTAGTTTCCTATTTTTTAAGAACAGATCTTGTTTACACCATGAAAGTAATAGGATAGCACAAACGGTTCTATAATATTTTATGACGGAGATAGACTTGTATGAAAATGAAAATGCAAAAGAAATATGCTACGTGCAACCCAGCATTTTTTCTCAAGAGATCCTGCAATAGGTAATAGCTTCGCGAGATTTCAGATTTATTTTTTCAAGTTTTTAAGAATTCGAATACGATAAAGTTCTTAATGTATTTCTTAATACATATTTTTTATA